GCCGCGTCCCGCCGGGCGGGAGGCGGCCTCGGCTCCGACCCGCGTCCCAGCCGTGGGCGCGGGCGGGGGTCTCCGCCGAGCCCGCCGCCGCGGTCACGTCTTCCTGGGACTGAGTGAAGTACCGGCGGGCGCCAGTGCGCAGCAGATGGGAGTCATTCCCCACGATGTTTCCTGAAGGTCCCCTTGTGCTGTACCTGCTCCTAGCCTGACGCGGAGGTTTCTCCGCTCCCAGAAGTTGCACGCAGCCCGCTCTCACCACAGGCTGCTTTTTAACTACTGGTTCATACCCAGCTCAAAGATGCACTTCTTCAGGAAGCCATGTTATAAACCGGTGAAGACTTACATGTTTGCAGCTGCGCGCGCTCTCTCTTTCTGTCTCTCTCTTCTTGTCTTTACTTTTCTGTTTTCTGTCGAGGTTTTGATACCTAGTGGCCAGACATATTTACAAGTTTCTTTTTACAGTAACTCTTTGTAGACATCCGATAAATGGTTATTATTTCTGGGTACTAGTTTGTTTTCCTGAACACTGTAGCATTTGTAATTGACTTTTAAAACCCTAAAAGCAGTATTATGTAACCACCTTCCTTTGGTCTTTGCTTCTACCAGATTTAAAAAATGCTCTATATATCTGTAGTTATTTTTCCACAAGGATTTAAATTTTGAAGTAGCTTTTCTAGCAGTTGCTGTGTGTGAAACTGTACCAAGTCAGGAACAGGTCCAAGTAGACTTACTTCAGCTATTAGTGATTTTTAAAAAGCATTCATGCTTTCTGTGCCCAGGTAGAAAATTACCCCAGGGTTGGGAGGTGTAGTTCAGTGGAGCGGCACTAGCCTAGCATTCTTGAAACCATAGGTCCAGTCCCCAGCACTGTGAAAAACAGAAAATCACCGTGACTTTCCGGCTTTGTGTTGTGAAATGAACGTTATGAAGATGAGAAAACGTTAGTAGATCATTTTTTGAAAAGGGCATAATAGTTGACATTCAGAAGTGAGCTAACTGCAGAGGGAAAATTGCAAGCTGGCACCCTGGCGGCCTCCCTCTCACCCTCCTGTTAACCCAGCAAGCTCCCACAGGTTGTTCTTGAAATTGCAGGATGATTATAGAGCAGTACTGAGTTTGCGACCAAGTCTTGCTTTCGAACCATTATTTACCGGGCTTGTTCTCCACACCTGTGTTCGGGGATCTTCTGCTACCGAACATCGGTGTTAAGTGTAACTCTTTGCACTTCAAGTTCAGCTGCCTTGGGAGAGAAAGGTATCAGGCAGGCCAGGGCCACTTGGTTTCTGTCACTGAATTGGCACTGATTTTCAGACAGTTACCTGCTCTGTGTGACATTTTGAATGGGTAAAACTACCAAGAACACAGATTGACAGTTGGAAAACTAAGGATCAGCACTGAGAACTTTTTTTCCCCTTTTTGGATTAAAGCAGTGTGCACGAGGCAGTCAGGATTTCTGAGCATGGATTTGCTATTGCTCAGTGGTCTGTCGTCCGTTCTAGTACCTAGGTTTGCCTTCTTACGGCATCAGACTTTCGTGGAATTTACTGAAAATAGTGAGAGTCTCTTCTGTTAGGCTGAATCAGTTTCAGAGTCTTGAGGGTTTAAGTTTTGTCTGCTTAAGTCATTCTTACTAACCTGAAGTGAAGGAGAGAGGCAGCATTTACTTTTCCCTTAGTGCTAGGGTTTTTTTGTTTTTTTGTTGTTTTTTTTTCTGTCTTTTTGAGACAGGGTCTTGCTGTGCAGTTCAGGCTGGCCTTGAGTTCACTTTGTAGCCCAGGCTGGTCTCAAACGCAGCAATCCTGCCTCAGCCTCCCGAGTGCTGGGATTACAGGTGTACGCCACCACGCCCAGCTTAGTGCTAGGCTTTCAGATAAACACATCCTTGGTGACGTCTGACCCCTTCCTTCGGTGTTGGCCTTGTAGAGGCCCTGGGACTTTTTGTCCCCTTGGTGGACTTACCACATAGACTTTAGATTTGTTTGTTTGTTTATTTATCTATTTGGTCCTGGGAATCAAACTCAGGACCTCGAGCTGGCCAGGCAAGCACTGTATTTCTGAGCTATATCCCTGATCCACCACGTGGATTTAAACTGCCAAAACAGTGTAGGAGGAGGAGAAACTCCTCTGCCTTGTCCCAAAGATGCTGTGAGGTATGTATTTGAGTTGTTGCTCTATTTTCTTTCCTTAAGGATAGTGTTAGTTATGTTTGCTGCTTCTCAGCTTGTTAGGTGAGTTTTGCAACCTCACTGGGGCTCAGTTTTAATATCTGTAAAATGGGGAGAATAATATTCGTTTTAGGGTAAGAATCGAGTGAGGTAACTCATGGAGGAACTTTGCATAGTGACCAACACAGGATGATATATAAATGTTTTCCACCTGTTCCTTCCAGGGAATCATATTAGGAGGAAACTAGCTATTTTATACCTTTTCAGTAATTCTGAGTTTTCCTTTAAGAAAGAGAATTGGCATGGCTCTTTGCACCCACAGCAGGGGCAACAAATATACATAAACTTTTTTTCTGGGATGGATGATGGTGAGGATGGAGTTTGAAGTGGAAGATGATTTTCACTCAGCTATGCAGTTTCACCCTCCCTGGATATAGCACTTAGCCTCTTGTTCCCAAGCAAGATTATTACCTGTGATCCCACTGCTCTGCCTGGTGACCGTGTCATCAGGAAATTATGGAAGTAAAATGAGCAGAAACACATACTTGTCGCTCCTCTTACTAGCAATATGGCATATCAGTTACAGCACAGTTTATACATGGAGAAATAAAGATCTGGTTGTCTGAAGATAAGACAGTTATCTTTTTGAACTACTTGTACCTTGTGCTCCTGGTATGGTCCGTATTTTTACGTGCATAGGAATATTCCCTAGACAGAGGCTTAGCAGTCGTGACTTAGGGTAGAAGTAGAGTAAGTAGGAATTGACTAAGCAATACTGGGTTGAGAATCAAGGGTAGAACATTTAGAGCCGTCCGCTGGTGGATAAAATGATTAACAGTAAGCATGTATTGGGCTTTATAGTGTTGCAGACACTGTGACTAAGTGTATGGTGTCTCAGTGTATTCTTATGGCTTGTGAGGTAGAGACAGGATCCATGTTTTGCAGATGAAGTGATTTAAGGTTCAGAGAGGGTACTGACTGGCACAAGATCACCCAGCATGCAGGCAACAGCTGAACTGAAACCTGTCTCTGATTCTGGAACTCTATCTTAACTCTGCTATACCTACTTGACCTAGTTTTAGGGACTGTAGAAAGGAAATGTGGGCAAACCCAGATCTCTTTTCTAATCTGCACAGGCCTGTTGTGTTCATTAAGAGCAAAGTTCTGATCCTGGCAGTTTGCAGTTATTCTTGTCTTACCACTTGTATTTAAAAACACTTTGTTAAACACTGTATCCCTTCTGGAAACATGGAACTGTCTCCCAGCACAGGCCTCGTCCTTTTTACTTGCCTCTAGGTCGTGTCCATGGGTTACTTTCCCAAAGGTGGTAGCTTTTCTCATAAATACTCGGTCAAGCAGCGCCTTGCCCTCTGGTGCCAACAAGAAGGCTGAGGCCGGGGCCGGGTCAGCCACCGAATTCCAGTTTAGAGGCGGATTTCGTCGCGGACGCGGTCAGCCCCCTCAGTGAAGTTGGAGGACTTTATTTTCTGTTGAATAAACGTGTAGTGAGAAAACCTCAAAAAAAAAAAAAATACTCGGTCAAAACTGGGGCTGAGCTGGGGATAGTGGCACACACCTGTCCCAGCACTTGGGAGGCTGAGACAGGAGGACTGCCATGAGTTCAAGGCCACCCTGAATTACATAGCAAGGCTCTGTCTCAAAACAGAAACCAGAAAACTGAAACAATCAAACAGACCGGGGGCTGGTAGTTGCCGATGACTTTTATCAGCATTAGTAGGCTTTGATTTTCTTCTTGCATCTTGCTTCGCTTTGTTACAGAACAGCAGTCAAAAGCATGGACTCAAAAACCACAGACTCAAGTGAGTCCTGCCCGGCTTCCATCCTAGGGCAGGTAACATTTTTGAGCCTGTTCTCACACTTATGAAAGAGATAATAACTGTGCTCATTACAGTAAAAGTGTAGCACTCAGTAAGCATTTAACCATCAGATAGCCTTACTTGTTCCAGTGAATATGACTTTATAGAAATTAATATTCATTTTATTCTCTCTGCAGCTATTGAAATATTTGAAGAAACTTTCCACCTTACCTATTACAGTAGACATTCTTGCGGTAAGAACTGTATATATTTATCCCATTTCCTTCCCACTGGGGAGTATACAGGAAGCTTTAGAAGATAGGCTTTGGAAGTGAAAGAAACCAGATCCAAAAGTTACATGTCATTGATTGTTTTTATGTTTTTATGGAAACCTCCAGAACAAGCAAATCCCTAACAGAAAATAGATGTGTGGTTGCCAGGGGCGGGCGGGGATTGGGAAAAACAGCCTCTTCAGGGTGATGGAAATATTCTGGAATTAGCTTATGGTAATGGTTGTGCAATATTAGGAGTGTTCTGGAATTATATACTTTAAATGGTGAAAATGGCAAATTTATCTGGGTGTAGTGGTTCACACCTGTAATCTCAGTGCTGGGAGGCTAAGGCAAGAGGATCACCTGGGCTACATAGTGAGACTGTCTCAAAAAACAAAACAACAACAAGGCAAATTTAATGCTGTGATTTTTTTTTTTTTTCCTTTGGTGAGGGGCTGCTGGTGAATAAACCCAGGACATTGCACATGCAAAGCAAGTGGCCTTTTTCTGAGCTATACCCTCAACCCTCTTATATGACTTTTATTTGAAAATTAAAATGAACGAAAAGAACATTGGCTTCGGTATCTACTGGGGCTGAGTTCAAATCCAAGTTCTTCCCCTCCTCTCCCCGGTACTGGAAATCGAACTCATGACCTTGCGCTTGCCAGGCAGGCGATGTGCCGCTGAGCTAAATCCCCAGCCCCTTCAAATCCAAGTTCTGTAACTTTAGGCTGTGCCTCTGTACGCTGAGGCTGATTCCTGCCTTAAGAGCAAAGACTGAGAGGCTGTGTGCGAAGCCTGTCCCCAGTGCCTGAAATCTGCCATAATCACCCTTGTTACTATTAGGAGCTGTTCTGAAAGGGTCTGGATAAAATGTTTCTCTGAATTTTTCTTCTTTGTTACTGTGGGACTAGGCAACAAAGTAATTTAGTAATGAAAATTGCAAAGTGTGTTTTAGCAAGTATTTATTCCTTTTTTGAATTTCCTAAAGCAAGAGGCTTGTTTCCCAAACCTGAGCTTTGCTTAGTAACCCTGTATCAATTGCTTTGTTACATTTGTAGGAGACTGGGGTCGGGAAGACAGTGAATAGCTTTCGAAAGCACGAGCAGGTTGGGGACTTCGCCAGGGGCCTGGTGGCCCAGTGGAAGAAGCTGGTGCCTGTCGAGCGGTAAGACTGTTTTTAATGTTTGTGAAGTGTTTTCTTCTCCACCTTCTTATTTAAAATACCTGTTTTACATTAATTATAAAAATAACTGATTATCATAGAATATGAGAAACTATTTAAAAATAGAGAAAATAAAAATTTTTGTCATTGAAGGATAAGCACTATTAACAGTTTAGTGTGTGTCTTTTCAGGGGGTGGTTGAGACAGGGCCTCGCTATGCAGTTCAGGCTGGTCTTGAGCTCACTGTGTAGCCCAGGGTGGCCTCAAGTTTGCGGCAATCCTCCTGTCTCAGTCTCCTGAATCCTGGGATTACAGCTGTGTGCTGCCGCTCCCAGCAGTTTGGGATGTTTCTAATTCCTTTTTTGTTTATTTTGGTTCTAGTTTTAGAGATCAAATATAGGGCCTCACACATGCTGAGCATATGCTTTATCCCTGAGTTACATTTTAGCCTTTCAAACTTCTTAAAAGGCATTTATTTTTTTAAAAAATCTCCCTTTTGTGGAACAAATTAAGCATATTTCTGTGTTGAAAAAATCTGTGAACATTTTCATGTTTCATGTCCACAAGATTTTTTTTTTTCTTTTTTTTTGAGAGACAGGGTCTTGCTTTGTAGTTGAGGCTTGCCCCTGAACCCTGTGTAGTCTAGGCTAGTCTCAAACTCATGGCCATCCTCCTGCCTCAGTCTCCTGAGTGCTGGAGTTACAGGTTTGTGCTGCCACGCCCTGCCTTTTTTTGTGTGTGTGTGCCTGTGCATGTGTCTGTGTGTGTGTCTGTGTGTGTGCGTGTGTCTGTGTGTGTGCGTGTGTCTGTGTGTGTACCTGCCTCCTGGGGAATGAACCTAGGTCCCATGTCCTTCACACTTTCTTTAACGTTGGTACAGAGTCTTGCTAAGTTGCCCAGGTTATGCTTGAACTTGCTGTCCTCCTTTCTCAGCTTCCCAGAATGCTGAGGTTGCAGGTGGGCACCACCACATCTGGCCGAGTTCCCCAGTTCCTTTTTCTTTTCTCTTTGTTAGTACACGGTTGCAGTGTGTCATGATTGCATTCATCATGGGGAGGTGGTGCATGGCATTTTCCCAGTGTTTAAACTTAGTTGAGTACTTCAAGCATAACCCGCTGACTTTCTTACTGTGCCATTGTTGTTTCTGACTCTGGATCTTCATCTTTTTTTGTGTGAGTCCAAGGCCTGTGACTTTGAACAAGGGTCACACTGCGATTTACCTCTGCTTTTTCAGAAACAATGAGGCTGAGGAACAGGACTTCGAGAGGAGCAATTCGAGAAAGCGCCCTCGGGAAGGTCTTCAGAGGGAGGAGGAGATGGAAGGGGACTACCAGGAAAACTGGAAAGCTTCCGGCAGCCGGTCCTATAGCCCTGAGCACAAGCAGAAGAAACACAAAAAGCTCCCAGAGCTGGAAAGACCTCACAAAGTGTCTCACAGTCACGAGAGGAGGGAGGAGAGAAAGAGGTGTCTCCGAGTGTCGCCTGCGTACTCTTCAGACCCCGAGTCTTCTGACTATGGCCATGTCCAGTCGCCGCTGTCCTCCGGCAGCCCTCACCAGATGTACATGGACCGTTACAGGCCCCCAGAGGAGGACCATGAGCCCACTGCCCCACATCACAAACCTGGGAAAGGCCATAGTAATGCCTTCCAGGACAGACTGGGGGTCAGCCAAGAGCGACACCTCGGTGAACCCCAGGGGAAAGGGACTGGGAACCCAAACAAGGAGCACAGGTCTTCCCACAAGGAGAAACGCTCCAGGGAAGCCAAGAGTGAGGAGAAGTCCTCTCTGGGCAGAGAAAAACCGCACAAGTCCGTCTCCAGAGAGGAGAACCGAAGGCCGCTCTCGGGGGACAGCACCAAGGAGAAGCTGCCCTCTAGTGCTGCCAAAAAAGAGAAGGAAAGAGAAGGCAGCAGCCTCAAAAAGAAGTGTTCACCCTCCGTGGAGGTTGCTTTAGACAACCACCTTAAGAAGTCAAAGCACAAGGACTCCGAGAAAACCAAGTCAGAGAAAAGCAGGCAAAATGCAGATGGCTTAGACCTGGGGAAAGGGGTAGGAGACCCGGCCAAAACACGAGAGAAGGTTTCTAACAACCTCAAGGCTCAAGAAGGGAAAGTAAAAACCTCTCATTCAGATCGGAAGTCACCTGGCTCACTCCCTAAAGTAGAGGAGACAGACATGGACGATGAATTTGAGCAGCCCACCATGTCGTTCGAGTCGTACCTCAGCTACGACCAGCCCCGCAAGAAAAAGAAGAAGGTTGTGAAAACTTCAGCCACAGCGCCTGGGGAGAAAGGACTTAAAAAAAGCAGTTCTAAAAGCACTAGTAAAAACTTGGACTCAGTTCAGAAATTGCCCAAGGTGAATGAAAACAAATCTGAGAAGCCACAGCCAACTGGAGCCGATTCCACCAGGCTGAGAAAGGTAACCCTTTAGGCCCTGGTGGCTCCCGACTCAGGACCTGGGGCCCTGTGTGGTGCACGGAGTCTGCCTGCTGCTGTTCTCATTTTCTTTGTATGTGGCCTGTTGAATTTGAATTTGCAGTGAATTTCCTGCTGGTCTCCCTAGCTGTTGGGGTAGAGAGAGATTTTCTGAGGTGTCCCGTTGTGATAGGCCCTGCCGTATGTGTATCCTGACTCCGGTGGTGTCTTCTGTGACCGGCCTCCAGCCTGGATCTGCCTGGGAAGTGTGCTGTGCTGATGCTTTCAGGAACGGACGGCAGGAGCGAGCGGCGCTGTGGATGAGGGCTCTCATCACTGTCTCCCCCTGCAGGTCCCCACCGAAGCGTTGCCAGTGTTGCCAGACCTCCCGTTATCCACCATCCAAGCCAATTACCGCCCACTTCCTTCCCTTGAATTCATGCCTTCCTCCCAGCCAAAGCGAAAAGGTAATGTTCTATATCTTTTTTTAAATAGGAAAAAGCCTGAAAAGGTCATTCATGATCTGTTACCATGACACCGTACTGGGTGCAGTTCCTAAGAGCATAGGCTCTGGAGTTCGATGGCTCAAGTTGAATGCCCACTTTCTGCAAGTTCTATGACCCTGGATAAATCTTTATTTTCTTTTTGTGCTGGGGAGTGAACCCCAGGGACTTGTCTGTGCCAGAAAGTGCTCTACCACTGAGCTACACCCCCAGCCCCAACCTTGGGTAGTATCTTAATTTTTGTGGACTGTTTCATGTTCTATAAATGGGAGTAATAATGGTATTTACCTCATAGGGTTATTAAGTAGTTTCAAAACTGATAATGCCAGTAATGCTTTTAGCTCCAGGTTTTCACATAGTAAATTTTAGCTGCTGCTGTTACTAGCAACTTTTTAGTCTGTATGCTATATGTGATTTTTATCTTTTAAAAAAATGTTGAGGTTTTATTTTATTTTATTAGGCAGGGTCTCACTGTGTAGTTCAGGATGGTCTTGAACTCATAGCTATCCTTATGCCTCAGCTTCTTTTTTTTTTTCTGTCTTTTTGAGTCAGGGTCTCGCTATGCAGGTCGGGCTGGCCTTGAGCTCACTTTGTGGCCCAGGCTGGTCTCGAACTCGCAATGATCCTCCTGCCTCAGCGTCCCAAGTGCTGGGATTACAGGCACGCACCACCATGCCTGGCCGCCTCAGCCTCTTCAGTACTGGGATTACAGGTGTGCACCAGAGTTGACAAAAATATCTAGTTTTGATAGCAAAAGAGTAAGAAGCCACATAATTGTCCATCAGCAGGAGACAAGTAAATTGTGGCTCATCCACACAGTAGTCTCTTAACCACTGTGAAATATATGGAGAATATTTGTGGACAGCATGGCCGGACACAGTAGTGCACACCTACCACCCCAGCACTCTGGGAGGCTGAGGCAGAACGGTCACAGGTTTGAGCCCAATGGAGATGTTTGTTTATTTTGTTTTTCTTGCGGTACCAGGAATCGAACTCATGACCTTGTGCTTGCCAGGCAGGCGCTTTGCCGCTGAGCTAAATTCCCAGCTCCCCCAGTGGGGATGTAGTTTGGTGTAAAGGCCTTGGGTTCAATCCTCCGTACTGACCTCCCCTGCCAAAAAAAAAAAATAAATGACACTAACTGGTCAAAAAAGGAATAAGATACACGTTTGCTTACTTTGCAGACTTTTGAAAGGAGCCATGAGAAACTGGCAGCAATGTCTTTGAGAAAGGGAGTGAGGGAGGCGCAGGGCGGGCGGGAGGAGATTTTTCATCCTCTGGCCTAAGGCCTTTTGTGATAGCCTTTGGGTTTTTCTTGCCCTGTAGCATTCTCTTCGCTCCAGGAAGAAGAAGCAGCTGGATTCACTGGGCGCAGAATGAACTCCAAGATGCAAGTGTACTCCGGTTCCAAGTGTGCCTACCTCCCCAGAATGATGACTTTGCACCAGCAGTGCATCCGCGTGCTCAAAAACAACATCGATTGTAAGTTGCCCTGGCACGCTGGAACGGGGCCGCCTTGCCTCGGGTTTGGCTGCTGTTCAGTGCTCTCACCTTTGATTTCCCTGCAGCCATCTATGAAGTGGGAGGAGTCCCGTACTCTGTTCTTGAACCCGTTCTGGAGAGGTGTACGCCTGAGCAGCTGTATCGCATAGAGGAATACAATCATGTGAGTGTCCTGTGGAGGTGACACGAGGGCAGCTTTCTGGCTTGTGTCTCCAGAAAGAGCTTTGTCTGTGGGTCTGCTGTGGCTGACGGGTAGACCCATGGTCCCATCACTGCTCTGTGAGTGTCGGGTCTGCCTCTGCCTCTCAACAAGCATCATTTTAGCACCTGCCCCTGGTATCTTAAGTGGGCCTCTCGGACTAGAATCAGGGTGGGATTCAAAGAAAGTGAAAAGTACTTGTGCACCTCCCTTGGGCTTGTCTAGTGGAGGGACAATTCTGGCAGCAGAGCAGCACCTGGGACTCAGGGAGAAGCTGTGGTCAGTGTTGACACTAAGGTGTCTGGTGAATAGGAAAGCACAGATTGGCTAGGTATGGTGGTGAGTATCTGTAATCCCAACACCTTGGGAGGCTGAGGCAGGATGATTTGAGCTCTGCCTGGGCAACTAAGCAACTTAGTGAGACACTGTCTCTAAATAAAGCAGTGGAGAGGTCCAGACCTCAATCCCCAGCACGTGGAGCAGCGAGGAGCACGGTGCACAGGCTGTCCCCTAGAGTCGTCTGGACCTCCTGGAGTCCTGTGATGCAGACTCACTGATTCGGTTGCGTTAGCTCGCTCTCCTGGCTTTTGAGAGATTTGCAACATGCAGTCCTTACGTGGCCGCCCCCATGACTGTTCACTGTAGTGCCAGGGAAACACTCGGTTTGACGTCATCTCAGCTCCACCCTGTGCTGATTTCCTATAGGAAGAGTGATTCCAACTGAGTTTTTGTGTGATCTTCTCACTTAGCCACCCAAAAACTACTAGTAGAGTACCTCACTAAGAACATTTTAACTGTTTTTTTTTGGTACCTGGGAATCAAACTCAGGACCTTGCACTTGCCAGACAAGGCGCTTTTGCCACTGAGCTGTATCTCTGGCCCTTTAACATTACTTTAAAATTTAATGACTTGGTTATTTTCTTAGAACAGTGGTATTTTAATGTAATACTACTACGTAGACAAAATTATTAAGAGGGGCTGGGGATTTAGCTCAGCGGCACAGCGCCTGCCTGGCAAGTGCGACGTCGTGAGTTCGATTCCCAGTACCGGAAAAAAACAACAAACAAACAAAAAAATTATTAAGAAACTGGTAATTCCTAGGTAGAAAAGAAGTGTAAGCATGCTTATATATGTAAATGATGCCCTGGTCCTGATTTCAGGTTTTAATTGAAGAAACAGATCAATTATGGAAAGTGCATTGTCACCGAGACTTTAAGGAAGAAAGACCGGAAGAGTATGAGTCATGGCGGGAGATGTACCTGCGGCTTCAGGATGCCCGAGAGCAGCGGCTGCGAGTCTTAACAAAGAACATCCGATCTGCACATGCCAATAAGCCCAAAGGTAAAGGGAAGGGGTAGCTGGGGCCGAGCCAGCAGGTGGGCACTGTGGCAGTAGGGTCTTGATGGGCTGGGCTGATGTAGGGCCACCAAGCCCCTAAGCATCTCTCACCTTCATGGGTGCGCCTTTCTTCTGCCACAGCCAGTGCAGCCTTACAGCAGGACTGTCAGGCTTGGTAATCTTCTAGTATGGAGGCCCTTAAGGAACCTATACAGTTTTGTTTTTGTTTTTGTTCGGAGGCAGGGTCTCACTATGTAATGCGTGCTGGCCTTGAACTCACTATGTAGCCCAGGCTGGCCTCAAACTCATGGTGATCCTCCTGCCTCAGCCTCCGAGTGCTGGGATTACAGGTGTGCACCGCCACGCCCAGCCCACCTATAGGTTATTAAGCATCTTTGCTGAAGAAGGCAGATCTTTTTTGTAGGGAGGGGGTACCGGGAATCAAACTCATGACCTCACGCTTGCCAGGCAGGTGCCGTGCCTCTGCGCTATATCCCCAGCCCCAAGAAGGCAGGTTTTTTTGTTTTTTTTTGGTCCTTTTGAGGCAGGGTCTTGCTATGCAGTTCAGGCTGGCCTTGAGCTCACTTTGTAGCCCACGCTGGCCTCGAACTCACAATGATCGTCTTGCCTCAGCCTCCCAAAGAAGGCAGATTTTTAAAAAACTTTATTTTTATTCATACTTGTTTGTAGTACATAATGATTACATTCGTCATGGGAGGCTGATACATGTATGTTACTGCATCAATTTTTTGCATGCCTCCTTCCCCTCTTTTCATCTCTTGGTAAGAAGACAGATACTAACCTCCAGATCTGTCCACAGGCCGGCAAGCAAAGATGGCCTTTGTCAACTCTGTGGCCAAGCCACCTCGTGACGTCCGGCGGAGGCAGGAGAAGTTCGGAACAGGAGGAGTAGCTGTCCATGAGAAAGTCAAGTAAGATACCTGCTGCCGCCTGAGCTTTGCCTGCTCAGGGAAGAGAGCTCCAAAAGTTGGGAGGGGGCAGGAGGGGCAGGAAGTGACCATTTTGGAGGGTGAAATCAGGCAGTGGGGTGCATGGGTTCTGGAGCCCGACCTTGACCAGCTCTGCATGTACCTCCTTGAGCCTCAGCTTGGCCTGTGGTGTGGGTGAGGCCCCTGCCTCCTGAGTTGGCATCAGAATCCATTCTATAGAGAACAGTTCTGGCTTGTGGAAGTGTTTGCTTATGCCTTCCCTTTTCGCCTCTGAACAAAAACCCTATCTCTGGGATGACTAGATTCTAAGCCACCTGAGTGTTTTCAGGTTTTTGTTTTGTTTTTGTGGCTGAACCCACGGCCTGGTGCATGCTAGGCCAGTACTCTGCCACTGAGCCACACCCACAGCCCTACACCTGAATGCTTTCGAAGTGCAGACTGACAGCTTAGCAGTAAGGGTGAACTCAGACCACTGCTCACTCTGAAAGGGTGACGCAGTTGTCTCTGAGCCACCACTAGCGCCCAGGTGCTGAGTCCACTGTGGAGGCACAGTGAGGCATCCTGTGGCAGGCAGCTTCAGGCTGCTGGTGAAGAGGGGAGACTCCTCCCGCTCATGACTAACCAGCTTTGCTCTGTTGTAGGATTAAGCCAGCCCCGTACACCACAGGAAGCAGCCATGTTCCTGCCAGCAGCAACAGCTTTAACTCCAGCCTGGAGGAGCCGGCCTACGATGGCCCCAGTACCAGCAGTGCCCACTTGGCACCGGTGGTCAGCAGTACTGTTTGCTATGATCCTAGGAAACCGGCTGTGAAGAGTAAGTAACCTGGGTTCCTCCTCGGCTGTTTGGCACCGTTTTTGAACCCTCTTTGCCTGGAGCGTTAGCACTGTTGCATTTTGTGCATTGGATGTAGTGTCTGTAGGATGCCGGGCACCGCCTCCTCTAGAGACCAGCCTGTCTGCTGCAGTGTCAGTGCTACACACGGGTGTCTTTTCAGTGATGATCTTAGTGAACATCCATTTTGGCACTTTTTTTTCCACCTAAATGTAAAAATGTTTCTCTAAGCAGTAAGAGGAGTCTTACAGCTAAATGATACAGTCAGGTCTTCCTCAGGCCTTATGACCTTAAAGTCTTAGCTGGTAAATTGTTTTTTTTGTTTGTTTTTTTCCTGGTACTGGGAATTGAACTCCTGACCTTGCATTTGCCAAGCAGGCGCTGTGCCACTGAGCTAAATCCCCAGCCCCTTTTTACACTTGATTTTGTTTGTTTGTTTTTGGGGTTTTTTGGGGGTTGTTTTGGTTTTTCTTCCAGTATCAGGAATCAAACTCATGACCTTGCACTTGCCAGGCAGGTGCTTTGCCGCTGAGCTAAATCCCCAGCCGGTGGTAAATCCTTTTGATACCCGTTTGGGTCTGTTTTGTATTTTATTAACTTTATTAGCATAGACTCGCCCCAGTACGTAAGGGGTGTCTAACTTGAGAAACACATTATTACATAGCCACTGGTACAGCCCGGGGGGTGGGGGCTCCTAGATTGCCAGCTGCACCCAGTGAACCAGGCGAGAGGCAAGCCGGCCCTCCTTGGGCGGGATTTGCGTAGCTCATCGTGGACCTGTCCCCGTACCGGGCAGAGTGGGGAGGGGTGCTGTGGACGGGTGCGGATGTTTGTGAGGCCCAGTTACACTGTGGTGAGATTAGCCTTCAGAGTCAGCAGGCGTTGACCTCCAGGCCCGCTGTTGGTAGTGCCCTCCTGGGTGCGTTGGCCAGGCTGCCTGAGCTGTGCACAGGCGGCTGGAATTAGGCACGGTGATGCTGGGCGCCTGACAGGGCCTCAGCGAGTGTCCGCTGAGTGCCGTTGCCCTTCCTGTGGCGTTACGTCCGTTGGCCTCGCGCGCAGCCTTGCAGCCAAGAGCCGCAAGGTGTGGCTTGGCTTGGATTTTAAACCACGGAGGCTGTATGTGAGTGTCTCCCATCTAAAACAGCTGCTGCGTTTCTCTTCACAGAAATTGCCCCGATGATGGCCAAGACAATTAAAGCCTTCAAGAATAGATTCTCCAGGCGGTAAACGGAGGACTTGACCTGGAGATGGAATTTGGGAGACAGGAATACAGGGACAGTGGGGCTGGGGAGTGAGCCTTCCGGAGGAGCCCGGAATCTTTCGCTTTGTGCAAGCTTTTGGCCTCTGAGTCCTGCATATTTGCAGGCGTTGGCCCCGTGTGCCACAGCCCCGCACCCTGCCTGGAGCACACTTCAGAATTCTGAAGACGATGTGAAACCTCAGTCTCACTGAGGATTTTAAGGTCAATTATACTTTTGTTGCTAATTAGAACCTTTGTAAACTATAAGACATAGTTTTAATTAATAAATATTGCCCCCAGATTGTATTTATATTCCCCGCCCCCAGGGTTTTGCGGGGGGCTTGTTGTTTCGTCCTTTACCACACATTTAGCCTTTTCTTTTCAGGGTCCTTTATTAAAGTTAGATGGAAGCCAGTCCCCATCCCAGGCTGCTCTCCAGAGCGCACTCCGGTCCAGAGGGAGGACCAGGCAGCCCTGCAGCTTGCTGCACATAGGGCCACAGCTGAGTGTCAGGCCTGTGCTCGGGGAGCCTGGCCTGGAGACAGCAGTGTTTGGGGCTTCTTGCCCTGAGCCCCTCGGTGTTGCTCCAGGTTCTGTACAGGCGCCCCTTTCTGCCCACTTGGTTGTATTTATTAAGGGAGGCTCTTCATAAAGCCTGGAGTCCTCCCCCCATCTTCTTTGTAAGTCCTGGTTTATTTTAAATAAGGCTCACTAGAGGACACAGAACCTTGAGAGATTAATTTGCACAGAATCAGCAATTTTATAATTTTGTTTCTGATTCAAATTTTAGGTGATCTTCCCTCCATTCCCTGTACCCCAGCACAGGAGACAAAACAAAACAAAACCACAGACATGGCAGGGTTTTTCATAAATCCTTGAACATGGCTTTGGACTTCTAAAAGCCAGCACTTTAATCTTGCTCCCTGTGAATTGCCATTAGACGTGAGTGGTTTTTAAGGTTGCGGTGCTCTGTTGGAAATTGCTTTTGTTTTTGCCTGTTCTTTGAAAGGTAAGATCATGTGACTAGAAGAGCACAACAGTTTGCTGTGTCTGGCAGAGAACTCTGCAGCTCGAGCCCCCCATCTTTAGTGCTTAAGCCAGGACTGGAGGAAAGAGCCGCATAGGAAACTGTCCTGAGCTACCTCGTTGGGTTGGGGGAGCCGCAGGGGCATCCTTTGGGTTTGGGAGGGAGGCCCTTGCTTTCCACTTGACGTAGAGGCAAGATCAGAAGTAGGAGGAGTGTCCACTCCTTCCTGGCTATCAAAGAACATGGACCTAGTAGGAACCACCTGGTGGTGACCCAAGGGGACACATGCTAGGAGTATGAGATGTGCAACTTTAGAAACCTATAGACAGACTCGAGGGCATAGATGGCTGGCACGGTAGCGTGCTGAGCTTGGCTAGCAGTGCCCTCCACAAGCTCTCTCAAGGCCTAAAATTTGGAGCTCACCATTTTCACCATCCCGAGACCTTGGCTAGGCTGACCTTGCAGATCCCGGGGCACCGCAGGCTCCGCGCTCCTCAGTGTGTGCTGCTGTGCGGGGTGCCTGCTGCAGTGGGACAAGTACTGCTGGGTTTTAATGTGCTGTAGTTTTGAAGTGGGTCATGCACTCTTTCTCTTGGTGTGGTTTGTTTTACCCCATCCCGTAGCCCAGTCCCCGGGTCTAATATTAGAAAACCTCTTCCCTGAAACTAAATGAACATTTGGACCAGGTGCCAGGCACCTGCTGCCTGGAATAGCTTCCTCTAGGTGTCTGTCACCTTGAACTTGTCTCCCAGCTATGTCTCCTGTTCTTTGCCACTGAAGCAGTTTTTCCTGTGTCAGCTTCAGTTGTGTATGATTTAAATCCCTTTACTATCCCTTTAAGTGGGAAAGGAGGAAAGGACACAGATTTGTCCATGTCAGCAACAGTATCCACTTCTGACACACAAAGATTCCTGATGAACGCTGTTAGCAGAGAGCCAGCTCTTCCTGTCTCTTCTGGGTGTCTGCGTCAGGGATGCGGCCTGGTGAGAAGATCGGGGCTGAGCACCGAGCCGCGGGCAGCACCTCACCGGCGCAGCGGAGTGGCCGCAGAGCGGCGCAGACGGCGTGGAGCCTTTGGTCTCCTTGGTGAAGCCTTGTGCAATCTTTTCTGTACTACACTACACACGAATCACCAAATTACAGACGAGCCCTTTGTGATCCTCGGCGTGATGAGCCGGTTCTTTGGGGCTTTTCTTTCTTTCTTGGAGGCGGGAGGGGAAGGAGCAAGGTGTTGTCCTGCTCTTCATTTGTATTTTGGTCCCAAAATGTAAATACAATTTTCTATGTTACTTTTTTGTGGTAACTACCAAGATGAATATTTTAATTAGATAAGTTATACAAAAACAAAAATCCCATGTCTAAATAAAAAAAAAAAACAAAAACAACTCCACCTCCTGTGTCTTCCTTTTTGTGTGAGGGAACAGAGTTGGTCACAAGATACCTGCTTCCCGGGCTGAGGCAGAGACAACCCTGGGGCTGGGCCTTGAGGGACGCTGGGTTTCTGTTGGTAGCATAGCAGGACTTGGGGAGGGGCGTTTCAGGGGTAGAGAACCCCACAACGAGACTCAGATGTGAGCACTTGCTGGGGACAGGCGTTGTCGCCTGTGGGTGGGCCAGCACCCCCGCTGGACGGTAAGAACCGCAGCTCCAAGGTGACACCGCAGCCAAGCCGCGCAGCTCCTGAGTGACTCGTGACTTCCGGGTTTCTGCCTCTTGTTTCCGGTCTTGCCAGGGCGAAGGGTCCGGGCAGGTCCCTCCGTCTTCAGTGCCCGAGGAGGACCGTAAAGAATGTTTGTAAACAAAGGTGTGTTGGCACCTGCTGTGTTGGTCTTGGGTGAGCTGTAGGAGCTTCAGTGTTGGCAAGTCAAGCCAAGGACTTGACTTGAACCGCTGCATACATCAAGTGGGTTGGACTTTTACCTCCAACTTGGATCTCACAACTGCAGACCACTATCTCATGGACGATTATGCCTCTTCTAGCGTGCAGTCTTTGTACATGATCTGGATTTGGATTTCCTTGGTTTGGGTTTTGGTTTTGGTTTTGGTGGTACTGGCAGTTGACTTCAGGGCCTTCATAGTGAACTATGTCCTTCCACAGCCCTTTTTTTTTTTTTTAAAGATAGAGGGTCCCACTAAGTTGCTCAGGCTGGCCTCAAAAATAGGATGCTCCTGTCTCAGCTTCCAGAGATGCTGGGATTATAGTCACCTTCATCATGCCTGGCCGTTTTCCCAATTCTTTGCTGGATCTAGTTCTCACTTAGAAAAATTGCTACGCATCAAAGTTAATTGTAGGAGGTCAGGGAGATAGCTCAGCAGCACAGTGCCTGCTTGGCAAGCGCAAGGTCCTGAGTTCGATTCCCGGTACAAAAAAAACCCCAAAAGTTAGTTGTAGAACACGGTATCTGATGGATAATTGTACCTGGGCTTTGTTGTTTTTTTCTTTGTAGATAGGGTCTCACTGTGTAGTTCAGGCTGGCCTTGAACTCACTATGTAGCCTAGGCTGACTTCAAACTTGTGGCCATCCTCCTGTCTCAGCCTCCAGTGGCTAGGATTACAGGTACGTACTACTGTGCCTGCCGTTGTATCTGGAGTTTTTAAATTAGTCCATTATCCTTTATTCATTAATTCAACATTTGCTGAGCCAGAACCTGTATTGGACCCTGGGATACAGAGAAACGCAACTAGGTCTGGCCCTCGAGTCTGGGAGGAGTAACTTGTCCCTACTAGTTACATACCTACTAGGTGCCAGTCAGCATTCTGTCTTGGCTACACTTGTCTCAGTTACCACAAAGATCTTGTGAGGTAGGCAGTGATGGCCCCATTTGAAAAGAAAACTGAAGCAGAGGGAGATTAAGGTCACACAGTGAGCAGGAGTGCTACAAGTTGGCCTGACTCCAAAGCAACGCCCTCGTCCCATGTACCATCTTAAATACACACACGGAGCACTGCACTGCTCAGCCACTGGCCGCAGGAGGTGTGACGGGAACCAAGAAGGACAAGTCCCGCACACACTGTTTAGGGTGAAGGGGCGGGGAAGCCGGGCGTGGTGGCATACACCTGTAACCCCAGCACTCAGGAGGCTGAGGCAGGACCGTCACTGCGACTTTGAGGCCCAGTTTGGACTACATCGTGAGACTCTGTCTCTAAAAAAGAAAAGGAAAGAAGGGAGTAAACACGTTCTGGCTTGCCCACCGAGTACCAAATGATGAATACCGGGACAAAATCTTTACCTTGTGATATATCGAGTGCCACGTGATGATTTCAAAGCAGTGAGTTCCAGGGTGTGACTGAACCCAGTTCGGCTTCAGAAGCAGCGCCAACCTCCAACGCCAAGATGCCTTGGCCAAGGCCACGGTCACCACCAAAAGCAATTCCTGCTGCCTGCCGGGTGCAACTGACGCCTGGCAGAATCATAAACCTGATTTACAATTTATCACCTTGACAAAGGCCCTCATCACACTGTTGCTCATTGCCTGGTTATTTGACTAAATGGAAAAATACATAATGTGACACTGTTTTCACAGGCCCTTGGATATGTGTGTGTGTGTGTGTGTGTGTGTTACTAGGGACTGAACCCAGGGCCTCACCCTGGGCTACATCCCCAGTCTAGTCCCCCTTTTTGAGACAGTCTTGCTAAGTTGCCCAGGCTGACCTTGAACTGGTGATCCTCCTGCCTCAGCCACTGGACTTCTCTTTCTGTGATGCCTACTGCCTCCACTGTTTTCAAAGACTAAGGAAAGTGCCAAGCATGATAATGGTATAGAGCTCACGAGGAATATGGCACAGGTCTATACTTTTAGCATTCTGGGAGGAAGAGGCAGGAAAACTGCAAATTTGAGCAACTGAATGATTTAGTAAGACCCTGTTTCCAAAAAAAATTTGTCTGTTGCTTGCTTTATTGAAATGGGGTCTTGCTATGTAATGCAGGCTGGCCTTGAACTCACTTATACAGCTCAAGCTGGTCTTGAACTCATTTATATAGCTCAGGCTGGCCTCGAACTCATGGCAGTCCTCCTGCCTCAGCCTCTCAGATGTCAAAAGTTTTTTATTTTTTTATTATTTTTTTTGTTTTTCTTCCAGTACCAGGAATCGAACTCATGACCTTGCGCTTGCCAGGCAGGCGCTTTGCCGCTGAGCTAAATCCTTAGCCCCTCAAAAAGTTCTTTAAAAGGGGTAGGGACGTAGCTCATTGCAACTGACTTCAGTGGCTGGTAGTGCCAAAAATATTTTTTTAATAGTTACAGCTGTGTTTCTCAAGCATGCTCTCTGGGCCTGGGCTGCCAGAGTGCACATTAAAAAAAAAAAATAAATAAAACACAAACAACCCAAGTATAATGGACTGAATGTTTTACCTGCCCCACATTTTTTTTTTTCAGCACTGAGGATTGAACCCACACCCTTCAACTAAGCTACATCCTTTTTATTTTATTTTCAAACAAGTTCTCGCTAAATTATCCAGGCTGGTCTCGCATGCCCTCCATGCTTATGTTGCGATTTGAAGCCCAGCGTGATGGTATTAGGAGAAGGGCCTTTGCAGATAATTCGGTCATGAAGATTCATCCTAATAGAGGTTGCCCTCATTCTGCCCTCCACCATGGGAGGGCGTGATGAGAAGACTGGCATCACCAGAGGCGGGATGGGCTACGGCCCTCATCTTGCACTTGCCGCTCTGGAACCTTGGGAGATGAGTATGTGTTGCTTAAGTCACTGGTTCATGCTCATTTGTTGTAGCCGCCTGAACTAAGACACCAAGATATTCTTAAAATGTGCACAGAACTCTGACAGTTGCCAGGGCCAACAGTATGCTCCTGTAGTTCCAGCTACTTGGGAAGCTGAGACAGGAGGATCACTTGAGCCCTAGCGTTCAAGGGCAGCCTGGGTAACACAGTAAAACTCTCAAAAACAAAAACAAAAAAACACTTCCGAGGACTGAGGGCCGGGGATGTAGCTCAGTGGCACAAGTGCCTGCCTAGCAAGTGCAAGTACTGAGTTTGATTCCCAGTACACACAAAAAAAAAAGAAGTCCGAGGACTGAAAGAAAGGGTACTAGCTCTTACCAGCTGGACTGCGGGTCATGCTATGAAGTTTGCATGTGTATTGACACACTTGTACTGTTCCCATTCTGTGTCACTGAAATCACAGACATGACATTTGCCGTTATAAAGCTATCGTCCAGTAGGGGAGCCAGTGACCAAATAACTGCATAACTAACTGTTTAAAATATAATTTTCAAGTAGGGCATGGTAGTGCACACCTATAATCTCCGTACTGGGGAGGCTGAGGCAGGAGGATCACTGTGAGTTCGAGACCAGCCTGGGCTACACAGTGAGATCCTGTCTCAAAACAAAACAAAATAAAAAGATAACCAGCTAAAAACTAGTTTGAGGTCAGTGAGTCTTCCTGATGAATGGGATCTTAGCGTGAACAGTTACTGCAGCATTTCTGGTTTTAGAACAGATCTTACTGTGTTTGGACTCCACTGGCGACCTCAACAGCCATCAAAATGCAGCCTCTCCTAGCTCTTCTTACCTCCGGGGTTTGGCAGGACACAATGGGTAACAGTGTAACAGAAGGAAAATGACAGCCATGGACACAGCCTGATTGTTCCTGGGTACAGTGCAGGGCTCAATACTGCCACATTTTTTGCAATTTTAAAAGGCAGGCAGGAGGGGCTGGGGAGTTAGCTCAGTGGCACAGCGCCTGCCTGGCAGGCGCAAGGTCGTGAGTTTAATTCCTGGTACTGGAAAAAACAAACCAAAACAACAACAACAACAACAAAAAAGGCAGCAATCTAACCTACGTCCATTTTCCCAGTTTTTAAAACCCTGCGCCACAACCATATGTGAGATACCAGAAAATCTATATGAAGTTGACAATTTTCTAGAAAATACGACTTCCAGAATTGACCCTTACGCCACTGGCAAGTCTAAACAGACTAAGTAGAGCCTCCCTTTAAGAAAGCTCTAGGGCCAAGGTGCTGGGGGGAATTCTTTCAACTTTCACAGATCAAGCAGTCCCAGTGCCACCCACCACCCCAAAGCAAAGCAAAGCAAAGCAAAGCAAAGCAAAGCACTACGAAAGCCCCGTGATGGTGCCACTGCCACTGCATCAGCTATAGACCAATCTTACTTAGAAATACTGATGTGATTATTTTAGACATTAGCAGAATCTCACAGTACTTTGAAACAAACCAAAAAGTTGGGTGTGGTAGTGGTGCACATCTATAATCTCAGCACTCTGGGAGACCAAGGCGGGAGAGCTGCAAATCTGAGCCCAGCCTGGCCAACTTAGTGAGACCGTGTCTCAAAATTAAAAAGCAAAACATGGGCCGGGGATAGAGCTCAGTGACATAAGCATCTGCCTGGCAAGCATAAGGTTCTGAGTTTGAGTCCCAATACCAAAAAAAAAAAAAAAAAAGAAAAAAGAAACAAAACACGTTAAAAACAACAACAACAACAAAATAAAACCATTATGGCCAGGATCCTTGGTAGTATATCGCGTGGAGACATTGATACGTGACATGTGCCTCCCGCTAACCTTCTTAAGACAAGGGAATATTACCCACCGGGTGAACTAAGAAAACAAGAATCATGAGCAAATGGGGTTTATTTAGAACTGGCAGGACAATCAGACTCTGTTAGCACAGGTGGGCGCGGTCATTCTCAATAAGACATGACTGTCTCCAACTGGGCACCGGGAAATGTCTGGAGGCGTTTTTGGTTGTCACTGCTCCGGCTGCTAGGGCGATGCTGGGTTGTTTAGTGGGCAGAGGCCAAGAATGTTCATAAACGTTCTATACTGCACAGGACGGCCCTCCACCAAACAGAATGACTGAGCCCAGAATCAAACAGTCCCCAGGCTGAGACGCCCCGGCTTGGTTATACTGCAGTAACAACGCCCAAGTCGCAGGGGGCTTGGAACAACGGTTCCCTACAGGTGCACTGCTGGTTTGACGTATGTCTCATTGATGCCATCCTCAAGCAGAGGCCCAAGCTAAAGGAGGCGTCATCCCTACACTGTTAAGATCTCCAGGCAGGGTTAGGTGCAGCTCAGTGGTAGAACGCTCACCTCGCATGGGCAAGGCTCAGAGCTGCATCTCCAGCGCCTCTAAAAAAAAAAGAAAAAACTTCCAGGCAAGTTGAGAATATTACCCCTGCCCAGAAGTGCCGCCTATCATACCTGTAGACCACATCTAAATTCAAGGAGCAAGGAAAGATAACCCACCCATGTGCCTGGACACAGAACTAGAAATATATGCTCATAGCGCCAAACTCCAAAGGCAAAACCACAGCCTGGGTCTAAATAACCCGCAAGGCTGGAGCAGGCCGGGAAAGAGCACAGCCGCCAGAGTCAGACTCTCTTTTATTTTTTAATCCTATAGTGATGGAGATTAAACTCAAGGCCTCGCGCATGCTAGGCAATGCTCTACCACTGAGCTACACTCCCAGCCCAGTCAACCTCATTCTGTTTGTTTCTTCCTCCAAAAGTGAGAAGCCAATCTTGCAGAGCGACCCCATCGCAGTCTGATGAATTAAGACACACAGATTGCATAGAGCGGTGCCTAGCATGTAGGAATTGCTGCAGGCACTACCAGGGAACTGGGAGATTAGGTGAAAGGCTGTTGTTAAAACTGAAATTCTGGCGGGGCGTGGTGGTGCACGCCTGTAATCCCAACACTGGGGAGGCTGAGGCAGGAGGATCGCTTCAAGTGAGCGTGAGGACAGCCTGCACTACACAGTGAGACCCTGTCTCAAAAACAAACAAACAAAAATCAGAAGCTCTGACGACAATGACATGTCCAAGGTAACAGAGCTGTTAAGTGCAGCCCAGTGGTTCAGGTCTCAGCCTGGCATATGGTGAGTAATAAATGGTACTGATATTTGCAGGAGGTTCAAATGGTTAAAAACATGGACCCTGGGAGCCAGATGGTCAGGGTTTAAGTAAGCTTTACTGCTAAACACCTGGGTGCTTCTGGGCAGGTTCCTTCGCCTCTCTGTGCCCGTTTTCTCATCTATAAAATGAGGATAATAGTAAGACACCTGCAATTATGAAGTTTAAGAAACAATCATGTGAAGCCCTTAGGACAGCATCTGGCACTTTATCAGTGCCCTTTGTGCTTAGCTGTTTTTATTACTTATGCCCTCAGTCTGCATCCCAAGGGGCATTCAAAAGTAACAAAACCGGGGATGTAGCTCATTCCCAGTCACAGCCAGGCCACCCTGCACCCCGCCAGGTGCCTGCCCAGCTGAGCGCCTTTAGCAACTGCAGTTTCCTTCCCAACCAGACAGGGGCGCTGCTCTGACAGGCAGAAGTCGTGGCAAACACATTTCATGTGTTTTCTCATATTTCCATCACGACAGAGCTGTAATGTAGGAACTCTTATTATTCCTATTTTATAGATGAATCTGGGGGCTGGGGATTTAGCTCAGCGGCAAAGCACCTGCCTGGCAAGCGCAAGGTTGTGAGTTCGATTCCTGGTACCGGAAGAAAAGACAAAAACAAAAAACAAAAAGCAATATAGATGAATCTGAGGCCTTGAGGAGTTAAGCAACTGGCCCAGCGAGCCCTAGGTAATATTGGGGGACAGGCCAGGGCTTAGGTGGAGGCAGACTTCACAAATTAAAGTGAATGAACGGTTAAATAAAACATGGTCTGCTCTGTGACTTTGATAAATAGCTCTTCACGCAGACCTGAATGGGAACATTTCCATTTCTGGGCCTCAGAGCTCTGCATGAGGTGCTGAAGGGGGCAGGTAGGACCCCACCCAGTCCCTTCCTCTTCAGATCCCTAAATCTAGGTGCCTGGCTGGGGGCCTGTGCACAGGTATGCAGGGGTCTTTACCTGTGCGTTCACATTCTGTTCTAGGGGTTCCACACTGAAAGGGTCCAGCAGGCATCTTGCCCAATACTTGAAAAAGAAGCCACAGAGTTTACATTCTCACACTGCAGAAGGCCAGGGACCAAGAGATCTTGGTGTGGTGGTGGGATTCCTATAATCAGGGGTGTGTGTGGGACTTCTATAATCAGGAATCATCCAGGCATGGTGGCACAAGCCTGTAACCCTAGCACTGGGAGGCTGAGGCAGAAGGATTGCTATGAGTCTGAGGCCAGCTTGACCTACATAATGAATTCAAGGCCAGCCTGAACTACATAGTAAGACCCTGTCTCAAAAAACAACAGACCAGTTGTGGTGACACACACCTGTAATCCCAGCACTCAGAAGGCTGAGGCAGCATGATCACTGGGAGTTTGAGGCTAGCCTGGACTATAGAGTGAGACCCTGTCTCAAAAAACAAACAAAAACAAAACAAAATGAACTTTTTTTCAGTGCTAGGGATGGAACCCAGGGCCTTGTGCATGCTAGGCAAGCACTTTACCACTGAGCTTAACACCTCCAGCCTTACTATTTCTTTCTTTTTCCCTTTTTCTTCTTTCTGGTAGTGGGGATTCTACCCAAGGCTTTCACACTGAGCTATATCCTCAGCCCCCACCTCCTGTTTTTTTTGGTTGGTGTTTTGAGACAGGTCTTGATATGTAGCCCAGGCTGACCTTGAACTGCTGGTGATCCTCCTGCCTCAGCTTCCTGAGTGCTGGGATTACAGGCATGCTGCACTACTCCTGGCTTCTCAAACAGTTTTATGGTGGGATCATAGGGCAAGGAACCAAGGTCTCCTGTCAACAGTGTGCACACACCTGCCCCCTTGTGAGTGTGCCAGCTTGGAAGTGGATCCTTCAGAGTTACTTGAGCCTTTAGATGACTCCAGGCTCTGGAGGACCCCAAGCCAGAACCACTCAGCTAACTGACTCTTCAAATTCATGACTGGCAGAAACTGAGATAATAACTGTTCACTGTTGTTTAATGCCATTACATTAAGAAATAACTTGTCATACAACAAAAGAAAACTAACACGGGTATACTGGAGAGGAGGTGGACCATGCCATGGTGTTTTGTAGTTCCTCTAATCAAGAATGAAGTCTATCTCTCCACCTTTGAATTTAGATTTGGCCATGAAAATTGTTCTGGCTGATGGGACATTACAGAAAAATCATAGAGGGGATTCACCTTAACCCCCTGGAGATCTCGGTGGATCAGAGGGATAGCAAAACAAGTTTGCAGGCTTGCTGACCATGGTCAGTGAAAAAGAATTTTCAGGATGCATCAGTGGGGTTAAGAGAAGGGTTTATGAGGATGGAGATTTAGGTCGCACCCAAGAGAGGAGTGGAATGCAGGTGCTCAGAAAAAGGG